TTTGCGATACGATTTTGTAATGTAACTGTGCATACGGAAACATCTAATAAAAGAAGAGTAAACGCGCGACGGCAGCATTTCCTGTTTCCGAATCCTGCTCCTTCATTTAAACGAAATTGAAAAAGATCTTTTATATTTCTTAATATGAATTTATTTGCAAAAGGTATCTTTATATAATTTTAATTTTGAGTATTCATAGTTAATATTTTAATTCAATAACTTGGAAAGGTATCTTTATATAATTTTAATTTTGAGTATTCATATTTAATATTTTAATTCAATAACTTACTAAGACTTTATTTCTTCTTTTTTATGTAGACCTGAAATTGAAGAAAACCTAAATACAAATTAATGAAAAACAGGAGAGTGATTACATGATTATTGCAATTATCAAAGTTTTGATCATTTTAATCGTACATTTATTTAATAAATAAATAAAAATAAATGATCTGTCTGTTGAAGTTATCCATTTAAAAATTAAATAATTTTTTAATTTATTTAGTTTGAAGAGATTTACCTAAGAATCCAATAAACATTACATTTTATTCATTTTATTAAATAAATGAATTATTTTTTTAGGAATATCTAATATCTATAAATCAGCTTATTTCTTTTTTGATTTGAAGAAAATTTGACTGTGAAGATGAAGAATTTATTGTTTTCTTTTGAAAAAAAAAGGAAGAACATATTTACATGCCTGGCATAACTATCTCCAAATCCCTGACGTTTGCCTCAGTGCCGGCCAACGATCGTGGGAAGGTTCACCTGCGACCTCGTCTCTAACGAATCAATATTACACGAGAGTATACGAATACTACGTTTCATGGATAAAGCTCAAAGACATTCATATCGGAAGCAACCAACTGATCCTCTTATTACATTCAATATAAATCAAATGAATAAACACGAATAATTTTCATAAATTAGACAATTAATTTCTTCTGTATCCACAGGAGAAATCATAAATATTTTTTTATATATATATTTAAATATAACTTAGGCGAAAATTCCCTAATAGCATTATTACAATAGTAATTTAATATCTCAATTTTTTTACAAAAATCATCGATAAATCGATGTTATATAATATTTAAAAAAAAGTAGAATACACGTGTCTTCTTTTACAATTTTTAAATCATCTTTTGAGGGAAGGAAGCTTCAATCTAACATTACAGCTGAACAATGTCCAGTGTAAATAGAATTTGATCGAGTCCGAGTTTTCACACTGTTTCCTATCTGTCCACTTCTAAAAATGCTATTTGTTCATTTATTCATATAAACACAGACTGATCTCTTCATTTCTTTATTTCTTGGATGTCCAAAAGTTCGATAATTAATAATAAAGACACGTTAATCCAATTTTGCCAAGGATAAATATTTTTATTTTTTAGTTAATTTTCTGAAGTCCAGTAATTTGAAGTTGATGAAATTTATTGAAACCAGCCAATAGAAGATCATCCTTACCATTTCTAATCGTTCAGTAACGACAATCGAATCAAGTGTTACATTGTCTATTTCTATAATCGCGTGGAGAATATTTGAGGGCAGATACAAGGATAAAAGTGACCCGACGGAGTTGTTCAAAGGGTCGATGATTTCGTTGGAACTTCAGAAAACACCCCGATGCATGCAGCTGCCTAGGTATTTGCGTGCCCCAATTTTCATCCTGTGGGGCTGAAATCTATGAGAAGGGTGGATGGATGCTCTCTTTTACTCAGAACACCCCCCCCCCCCCGGTCTATGTAATGGAACCCCAGCCTCCTGTCTGTCCATGTAACATTGTTAATTCTGCTCTCAAGTTTCTACAATCAAAAACCACTATCTGTCTATGAATTTGATATATTTCCTTTTTTCTTTGGTTTACCTCTGCTTATTCTTTCAGAACCTTCTGCTAATTTGTATTTGTTTTTTAGGTGGAGTTTGAGGACTAGATGAAGAAGAAAAGATGAATCCTCCGGAAACCGTTTATGGTCAATTAAGAAGGTGGACAGTAAGAAGTAAAGCTAAGCAAACAGAAAATTATATATGTAACATTATTTTTTCTTTTTGACTTTTTTTCTTAATCTGATATATATAGTGATAATCTGATATTGATATTACAAGTACTATTACACTAATACATATCTTACATATTAATTTAAGATTTATTAGTATTAAATAACTTGCGAGTATTTCACAGTTACGAGTCACAACTTTATAATTCAATATTTTAAGACGTATATTAACTATGAAGAGAAAAGAAATAAAAGGTAAATAAGATTAATAACTGATACAAGTACTATTATTGATCAGATGATCGAAACTGGTTTAAACTTCAGACTTATCTACAGTTGACCCAGGTGTGTTCATACACCTGCCCTTATCGCATGCCATTCTATGATGCATCAATTTTTTTCATACATTTATCTTCCAATATCAAGCGTCATAGTGATATACCTACCAATACAAAATTAGAATAAAAATAGAAAAAAAATATTCTTTTAAGAACAAAGTAAAAAGCTCTAAAATGTTGATAATTATGGATCGAAAATTTATTTTTATTATTCATAAAGCTTCATTGATGTTCCAGGGCATCTTCACGAAGAAATGTAGCGGTTAAGGGGAGGCGTGAAAGTTCAATACCCCAGGTTGAACCTAATCGGCTCGAACGTCACGGTACCGTGATCCCGTGAAAATTAGCAAACCATAGAATCGCGGCTGTAGCCCCCTTTCGCGTATCAGACGCGCATTAAGAGCACCCTCTTGTCATAAGGGTCGCACTTGTGTTGATCCTCGCAGCTGGAGTGACACACAAATAAAGTATTAATTCACGATTCATGTAGTAATACCGTAGCATCACATTGAATTCAACGTTCGTGCTGATCTGCTATCTAACATTGGTCCTTTTCTCATGCGTAATGTGCATTCTGTGCAATTTCGCAGTTTAAAATTGCCCATAAAAATATACGGTCCAATTTAAAAATCTAATTTTTCAAGAAATATTTGTATTCAATAAATGAATAATATCCGTAACAACTTCCAAACAGTTTCAAGTGTTTCTTAAGTATTTTACATCACAAATGATTCTTATTTCAATTTTGTTCAAATAGCCAAAAAACAAAGAGAAGAGGGAAAAGACACAGTTAGAGAAGATGAAAAACCGCTTCGATTCGTCCCAGGAGACGCGTATATTGTTCCTAATTGTCCACAAATCGACGACCACCCTCGATTTCCGGACCGTTAAGTATAACCATCCCCTGTGGCACCAGGGGCGTTCCGCTAGCTCTCTGTTGAGGGGCGCCTGATACAACGCGGTTGAATATGGATTCAATTACACCTCATTGTGCCACGGTGTCTATAAACAATGCTGTTTTCACAGCTGATAGCGGCCCACGTCCTGCTGCGGGTCTATCAAATTAGAAGTTCACCCAGTGGATTAATCTTCATACTGAGTGCTTCTGTCTGATCTCTTCTTTAATGGAAAACAGTGTGATTTTAGCTGCAGAATTTGTTCGCCACAATACAATGAATTTATCTGCTTTCAACTTTTTATTGAAAAATTTTTAATTTGCAGTTTAAAAGTTCATTTATTTAGAATTAGACAGTGCACTTAGGATTTAGATGGGCTTCTGATTAACTGAAAGCAAAATACGAAAAGAAAACTTGAGTGAAGGAAAGATAATAATGAGAGAAGAAACGAAGAAGAAATAAGGAAAGAAGGAAGTAAAAACTTAAATGGAGAACAAATAATAAATTGAATAAGGAAGAAAGAAGAATTAAAAAAAAACTGGAAAAGAAAATACGTACAAATAATGGATAAAAAATTTTCTGGGTTACTCATACTACTCTAATATCATCTTTGCAGCAAAGTACATGTAACGTCCTACTTCGTACCTAGCTATATACATAGAATTCTAACTAATAAATTATATGAAATGAAAAGTAATAAAAAAAACTTTTAAAAGCAACTGGACATTATGTTATTGATATAAGAATTTTTAGTTAGAATGGCTCGTTAACGTAATAACCAGCGAAGCACGGTTGGAAGGTAGAAAATCGAGTTCAGGGTACAGAACAACGAAGAGGGAAAGGAGGATCGCGTCGTGGGAAGATCCACAGCCGTCGACGCCATTATTCCCGAGTCACAGGACGTCGCGACACCGCAATATCGACGTACCGCCCACGATTCTCCGTCTCTGTTTCATCCACAGCGGTTCTACTCCCCTTTCAGTCGAACTCCACGCCAGAATTTGGCGCAGCTTCAACCCTCTGCTTTTTTGGAGTCCTCCGCCATTTCGTTGCGAAGAAAGGTAAATTCGGAGGCTTTGTTTAGCTTCTTAGAAACTTGGAAAATATTTCTCTTGTTCTTACACTGTTACTTTCTATTGAATTTTGAAGACATTTTTGTAAAATAATCTTTTTACATTAAGTTAGATCGGAAAAAATTAAAGAGGAGGATTTAAGATATAAAATGAATCCGAAAAGTTGAAAGATTGGTCTTGAATTAGAGATATTAAATCAAAAATTAAATAAAATACATCAAGAGGAAAATTTTGAGTAGACGAAATGGACTAAAAATTAAAGGAATTTTGGTTTCAGAGTTAATTAAGAGAGAAGAATTTAAAGAAAAATGGATCTAAAAATTTCTGGGAACTTAAAAAAATGAAATAAATATGGGAAAATCAAAGAAATTTCAATAAAATGGATTATTAGAAGCAACGAAAGAAAAGCATAGAAATTAATGTTAAAATAATAAAAAGAAAACGGAAGAAATCTTTAAATCAAAAAAGCTCGGTTTTTCTTGAACCAAAGAAGTTCCAGATTAAATTTTCACAAACTACAATGGGGGAGTATTGATTTTTAGAAGAATCGTATACACCTATTAAAAGCAGAGTTATTAAGTTGAAGTATATACAAGAAACTTGAATATATATTATTTCAAGATCAAGAAATGGAAAACCAAAGGAATTCTGATGAAAAATGGAAAATGAAGGATGATAATAGAAGAAACAATTCGAAACTTGAAGAATCTACTTTATTTGGCTTAAATGGCGACCACATTGGGATCATTCTGTTGCATATTCACATTTCACGTACAAACGATATCTTTTACACGTTCTATATGTACAATGGTGAGATTAATTCTACCAGATGAAAGAAAAATCAATTAATTACTTAGAGAACAAAAGAATTTCTGGCAGAATCTTTTTTCTACTTATTTAGTGTAGATTCACTGTTTGTTTGGGCGTTTCTTCAAAGAGAAATTTAAAAAAGTCACTCGTACTCTTCATGTTATATAGGAATTTCTTATTTAATTCCATTTGAAATTTCATTAACATTAATTTTGAGACTAATACTGTTTGTATATAGGATAATTAAATAATGTTAACAATAATAATTTAATAATACTATCCACCATATTAAAATCGACTAGAGACAAGAAATAAATTAATTGATATAATTTTCTTAGTTAACAAACTTTGGTTCTGTTGGTATAATTGAATACATTATTTAGGAAAATCAAAAAGATTGACTAGAAATTTCTGTCCTTAAATACTAAATAACACGAGACTCGATGCACTTAATAATTAAGACCTGAGCACTTTATTCAAATGTCGAGCTATTTTTTGATGTTCTTGGGTCCTCTGGTGTCCAAACTTTCGCGTACATTGTTCCATTTGGGGAAATGTCCGACTTTCTGGACCAGGACAGGGAATGGAAAATGAATGGATTCCCTTCGCTGCCTAAAATTTAATCGTTGGTAAGAATTAGTACATCAAGTAGCTTAATTTCTATTTCTGTTTAATTATATTTTAATTATATTTAATTATATTTTAACTTTAATTATATTTCAACGACAATTTTGTTTTTCAGATCATTAATAGTTTGGTGGCAGACTATATAGTGTCAAGCAACACTTTCATATAGACAATTAAAATTTTCAAAAACCAACAATATAGTTTTTGTCATATCTGTAAATCAGTTAATATTATTTTAATAGTATAGAGACACGAACAATAAGTAATTAAAGAAATATGCAATTGAATAAATGAACATGTAAGTATATATGCACGATATATTAGGCATTATCATTGCCTAATGAATACTTTTTCAGAGAAATTTTGCAAATTTAAATCCGTATAAATTTTTGATAATTTGTTCTTTCTCTTGTACTATCTAATTTAATTTAAATTTATTCGCTAATTACAGAATTTACTACATGGGGATTTATAATCATTTACTTTACTAGCAAAATGATGCTTTCCAAAATAATTTCGCTTTCTCTCTTTCTGAACTATATTTATTATATATTTTTTATTCTATATGATATAATAATAAAAAAATAATTAAATTAATGTAACTTAACGTTAGGTCAATAAATAGCAATAAACTCTTTAGAAAGTGATACGAATGACAGAGAACAGAGATGTGAATGTGATCGGTATTGGCCTCACCACGAACTATAACCTTCTTAGACTCATCTCGACCGGAACACCTGGAGAGACTACCGTTCCCTGTCAGAGGGTCATTGCCCTTGTCAGCTCTGACGAGTTCGTTTAGGAACTTTATATAACCGATCGCCAATTTTAATGTGTCAACTTTAGAGAGTCTCTTCTCGTAGGGTAGAGTGGGTATGTGAGCCCTAAGACCCTCGAAGGCGTCATTTATATTTTGCATACGTCTCCTCTCTCTCATATTGGCGGCTTGTCTCTGTTGCACCGCCTGTCTTGGACTTTTCCCTGTTGCTCCGTTTCTTCTGTTGCTTTGACTTCGTCTAGAAATCATTATTGCACTGCTTTTAATAGAATAACAATTCTTACATGCCTGTTTCTTTAAATATCTTTAGGATTTTTGGAATATTAGGTTCAATTGTAGATTGGCATTATAGAAGACAAGGAGAGAAATATATTTCATCGTTATTGCATTGTGTTTGATAGAATTTTTTAAAGAGTTTAGACTCTTATTTTTTAAATATTCTTATGATGTTTGGAAAATTAAAGGCAAGTGACCACGAAGATATGGTTCACCCCTAATTTTGTCAACATAAGGATTTACTCATTTCGCGTGGATTAAATCTTACAAATTCAGGTAAATATTTTTTTAATAGTTGAGTTGAGGTGATGAAAGAGGAAGGAGAAAGTATTTTTTGAACAAAAACATTGACACAATGTAATTTTTATTTCCAGAATAACGCAATCCTTGAGAAAATACTCACTCTCTGGTATGATTTTCCTGATCACTGCTATAAGCGCTCTCATTGTCACTGCTATTTTCGTCGTACAAGTAAATTTCGCTACCGCTAGTGCTTCCGGTACTGCCAGCAGGATGGGCAGCTAGTTGCGACGGTATCGAAGATAGTGTACCTGCGGTGGGCGCTCCGCAATGCGGCGGCAAAGCTGGAATCGCAGGATTTCCAAGAAAACTATGCGCCTCGTACATATACTGACGATTCATCATGTCTAACTCAAGATTGTCCATGGAATACATCTTGGAAACTTGTTTCTACACCTCTTATATCTTCAATCCCTTTGGTACACGTGCCTTTTAAATAAACTCCTCGGTATAGCGACTAGAATCTCTGACTAGTTGAAATTAATTAATTAAAACACTCTCACATTGTCTGCATCAGATTCTTTTATTTATTGCATGAGCAGTTTAATGAAATCTAGATCCCAGCGCCTTTTGTGAACCTGGAAGATTTGATCCTACGGCATAGTTTTTACTTGAGAAACTCTCAAAAGACGTTGAAGCATTTAAAAATTTTACTCCTCGCCGTAGTTTTCGGTTTGAGAATCTCTCGGAAGGCATCCAAATCTTTGCACCACAAGTGCAAATAATGCGACACACTTCTTCTTTCAGAAGATTTCAGATAGTCTAATTTTTAAATCCTTCGTGAAGCACCATATCTACCAAACAATTCTAACGACTAGGAGTCTTCTTTTTTCCAACTGATATCTTCTTCGAATCTGGAAGATCCGATCCTTTTTCAAAGAAAAAAAAAAAACCGAGAAGAGAAATTTTAAATTTTCACGTTTAGAGTAGGAGAAACATCAAACTTGAAGTCAGTGACAATTTTATCATTTATATACAACTTCTGAGTTTTCTTTGGATCGTCATAGCCTTCTAGAGATATTGAATAAATCCTTCATATTACTGATGACTCTTCTATGTAATTTCGCACCATAGTCTTTTTTGGAGCACTATAGTCTTCTTCGGACACAAAAAGAACCAATTAAGGTACACTGAATAGATTCAATTAAACCGGGATCATCAGGCAGTTTTCGTTGAAGTTTCCAGGAAATTCCAATGCAAACATCCTCGATCACGTTCCGAGGATCACTGATACCATCGACACGACACGTGCCCCCAGCGCGTGCTAGGAAATACTTCTAAACAGCGGCACGTGCCAGCAGGAAGCCAGGGCACGTGTCCAGATTTGTCCAGATTTGTTCAGACACTTATCACGATGTACTCGATCCTTCCTTGCTGGTCATATTGTGATCCGAAGAGCCATTTTGAACGAATAAGCGAGAAAAGCATCGGTCAACTTCATCATCCTCGATTTTCTTCCTGGATAACGTTCTCTTCACCTTCACTCATAATGAAGACTCTTCTGACTACTAATTGAATATTCAATACCCATCATTTGCACTGTATTAAATTTAGAATAATTACGCTCAGAAATATCTGGACACTTACTTGTCTTTAATAAAATGTAATTTAGATATAGAATTATGGATTGAAGGAAAGAGATCTATAATATTTTTGTCTTGTGTGAAGAAATATTTTGCAAAAAAATATATTATCGGTAAACTTTTTAACAGGTAATTTCAATTTACAATCTCTTTAACTTTAATACTGCTTATGCGTTAATATAATATTCTGTCATTTGACTATGACTAGATTGCAGATTTTTATGCAAATTCATGTTTTTTAAAATATAGTTTGAAAAAAAATAGAATCTTGGTAGAAAATTGTATCACTGTAGAAAACATTACTCACATTATATACATTTTGTGCAATTTTGCTTTTTAATGTTTCTCGTAAATGCATAAAAATCCGCATATTATTGCTTTATCCTTAATACACAGTATTTTATACACTCTAGCAAAACTCGTATAGCTGTTATCACACTCACAAATCCACTAGTTTCTGAATGCTCGTGAGTGACAGTATGTGAATATTAAGACAAATTTCTCTGACAAAAACGGTCAAATGAATCACTGGCACAAAACTCTTATTATAATTATGTACACTTCAGGTGAAAAAGGAAATACTGTAATTGAGGAAACATTAGACTACCAGAAAGGTGAAGTGGAACTGTGGATCACTGATGAGCACTGTGAGTTCAGGTGGTCCGTCGAAACTGAAAGAGAAAAGCGGGAGGGAAGCCATTTCTGGGGTTGAAGGTCTGGCTGCATCCCTATTCGCCGAGCTAGTTGGTGGTGGAGTCTGCCAACCCCTGGTTGCCTGGCTGCTGGTTCCGCCTCTTCATCGATCTGATAAGGAACAACAGGGAGGCTCTCGGTGGAGGAAAAGTCGTCGGGCGATAATGCGACTTGAATAGATTTGTAAATCGAATTTTTCACCCCAAGGTGGATATTTTATATAGTTGCTGTCTAGTTGGATAAAGAACGCTTCATACTTCATAATTTTTTTCCAAATTAGCATATTTAACCAGATGTATCTTCTTTAGCAAGAATTGGAGAAAGGAATCGAATGAAAGTTGAACAAAGAATCTAGCAGAGTGAAAAAAAAATTGAAGAACACAGGAAAAATATCTGATAAAAATTGGAAGAAAAGAGAGAACGAAGAATTTTTAGAGATTGAAATTCTAGAATTCAAGAATAAAACAGTTGCGCCGTTTCATTAGGTTTTTTGCATATGAGAGGATCGATTTTACAGACTTATTATAACTTATAATTATTTACAATTAGAAACAGTTATATATTAATATGTTAATTATTACAAGCTTGCATTAATTATTTCAATGTAATTATATGACTATATTAATTAATTATTATAAGCTCAATTTGAAATGATTATAATAATTACACGATTCATATTGATCGAAATAATAACTAGAGTTTGGTTTTATGATAGTAAAACGTATTGAATCAGTGAATAATACGATAGTATATTGAATAATGATACAGTTGATATTATTTCCAGGAAAAATGTGAATTGGAAAACTGGAGTTGTTTTATTAAAAATTCAACCGTTCCATCTGCAATAACTTGATATTAGAGGGGACATTATTGTATAAAGTTTGAAAATTTCCTTTCACGTGACACAAAATTTCGCAAGAACATATTGTTGCGTTATTAAATATTATTTCGCAGCACGATAATAATATGGGAGAAATCACATCGGACCTGTTACGAACCGCATAATTATACGTTGCCCCGGCTGAGCCAAATGTCGCAGAAGTGGTTAACCCCAGAGTAAACCCTTCCACGGTGTTTCTGTTGCACGTGCACGACACGTGTCCCTAATTTCTTTCTCCGTTACACCTCCGATTCCCTTGGATGCTCTTTTTTATGAACAACTGTAGAACTTGCCGGTCTTGGAACACCCCTTTAATTTCTGTGGACATTGTCGTGGAAGAATAAAAACCAAATGATATTCTTCGTTTCTATTCAATAAAAAATTATGGTGAACTCAATTCGCAGTGTTTTCGAAATTATAAGACAATAGTAACAATAATTATTATAAGAAGAACGAAAAAATGGAAGAAAAGGTTTTTGATGGAGAAAGTTAAATAATTTTGAAACCAGGAAAAAGGATTTCTGGGAAAATTAATGAATTTGAAAGAAGTAAGAAAAAAATAGAACAAAATAAATAAGAAACATTTTAAATTAAAAATTGGTATAGGTAAATCAATAAAAAGCCAAAATTACAGATTTTTTTACTAAAATTACGTGTATTGGGAATGAAATATTACATTAGAATATTACCAGAAATTGCATGACTCTTCGGAGGAAGATCTTGGAAAACGTAACATTACTTATATGCAAGATACAATTAAATTTAACCCAGGCTTAATGCAGTACGTTTTCTTTGAAGCACCGACAGGATATAAAGTAAAGACCATTATCGATTTCCCACAAAATTTTCTCCCAAATACATCCGTCGAGGCTGGACAATTAACACGCTACAAATTAAGAGGGTTCGTTGCATCAGGATGAATTATTTGCACCATCTGTTGTTCCAAAATCTAGGGAACGATTTTTTCTTTTTCCCACGAGTACAATTTTCAATGACAATTTTAAACAAATGGATAAAATGGTTTTTAATGGTGCAAAGTGCAGGTGCAAAGATTGGTCGTGCAAAAATCGAATCCGGAGATCGCAAGCCGCAGCCTGCTCGAGTCTAATCCGAAAGAAAAACACTGGATTGGAACAGGTCTATTGTACGGCGGGATTTTTGATCCTCGAGATCGAGAGATAACCAAAGGGGATCAGATTTAAATGGCAAATCCCCTGGGCACGTGTGCTCCCGATTCGAAGTTAAATACTGAATGCGAAAAGAACGGATTTTATTGGTAAAGCAGATAATCGTTGCTTTTTACAATTATTAGAAAAAGTATTTCAGATCAGAAATATAATGTAACAATATGTAATGGATAACAAGTCATTAGAAGCTTTCTGGATTCCAAATAACTAGTTAAAAATTAAAATAAATCAAATCAAAGTTATAACTATCATTGGGTTGTTTTTAAAAACAAATTTAATGGCAATTGAAATAATAAATTTAAATCTATCATTTGCTTCGTTTCAATTTTTTGAACATATTACCCATAATCTGTAGTCTGGAAAGATTTTAATAACCAAAAAGAATTTTTCTGCAGAAAACAAAGAGATTGGAGTTCATAAAAGCGCATCATTTCTCAAAAAAAGACTCACTCTCCGTGTCTAACCGATTTTCTATGGCACGTCTTAGTACCCATGTCCAACACCTGGTAACCGGTACAACCCCGGGAACATCCTGGTACCTACTCGAAATATAGCCAACCCCATAAGTGTCTATTAATTTATACTCAGCAGGAGTGTGAAATCGATTTATATCCACTGCTCGATTCATCTTCCGGGTTTAATCGATTTGCAGCCCTATAGAAGACTGTTGTGCCCTCTAATAGAATCTCTATTTTCAAAATTTTCTTTTTTTTTCAATGAAATGTATATTCAGTTCCAGCATTATATAATTTATTTCCAGCATTATATAATTATATATGTGTCTTCAGCTGAATTTTATAAATTTGTTTCAATATTATGATTGGGCTCCTCCAGTGGAATAATGATTCTATTAACAAAAATTGCAGATTAATCCATTAATATTTTTCTAACATTTTTGTTATTTTTCAGATGCTGATTTGTCGCTGCCCAAAACATAATTAAATGCGTGAAACATAATTAATAGCGTGAAACAGTGCTATACAACATTGGCACACCTTGCACAATGTTTGTCTCGGAACATCCGGTTTCGAGTGTAATCGAGCGAGCCGTCGAAATCATGCGCTAATTTAACCATCAGCCCTGTCCGACACAAAATTCTGAGCCACCTGTCTAATATCCACCTCTGCATCCGTTTCCGGTTTATGGGGGATGGCACCCCATGTGGTGTCCTCGTGGCTGTGCCCTCCAGGAGGGCATGATCCCCTGAACGTTCTATGCTTGACTACACCGCCTTCACCCTATGTTTTTTCCTATCCATGGAACTGTTCCATTATGACAAAAATATTAAAGGAAATTTTCAATAGGAAAAAGGAATTTTCAAAATCAGGAAATATTTCATCTGAAGAGTTTTTATTGGGGTGAAGTATTATTATATTAGTATTATAACTAATTATTACTAGTTCAAAGTAAAAATTTTTACTCTGTATTTTTGAAAATTTTATTATATATTTTCAATTTATTTTTGCACGTAAAGTCAGCTATATTAACTATATTAGATACCTTGTATATTTAATACAAGAATGGGTATATATGTGTTATTTACATATGAAATACAAAATAATATACAAAGCTGTATAATTTTTCTAGGGAAAGTAAATGCGTTAGATTGGAAATTATGGATACCACGAGCACCTTTGGATCAAGATAGGATCTATTGACTGAAGGAGATAAGGTTATCTTCACGTTGATCTGAACGTTCTGTATGGGTCGTTTAATTCCCAAATTGTGCGTTCATGGGGTTCCAGTGTTCGTTGATTATAGATATTGAAATCTGCAATAAATTGACATTCCGATTAATCCTATTGTGAGCAAGTCTACGAGTTTGATATTCAAACATTTTAACATCTGTGGAGCCATGTGAAATCTATTTATGCAATATGGAATAATTAAAGGAATAATTTTTTAGGTAAAAAGTCGGAATATTTGTTATTTAAATATTTTGGTTTTGAAAATTTGAAATAGTACATTGGTATGCCCTCTGTCGATGATAACGTATAGTAGGGCTCTAAATTATCGTCTAAGACTAAAACAGAGAGCTTCTCTTTAAATTAATATTTTTCTCATTTCAAGTTAATCGTTACTTCAAACATTCTTATTATTGATTAAAACCATAGGCTACAATGAATCGAATTAGCATACGATCGATCGTACATCGTAATTCAACGTCGCACGTCTCTAAATTTCTCCGAAAAAAAATTACCGAACGAGAACCTACGGAAAACGAAATTATCGTCGACGCAACTTGATGATTCATTTTTCCGCGTGGGGAGAAAAAATGTAATTATAATCAATTACAACTTTTCTAATAGACGAAACAGCAAGTCACAGAATGACGCATTGAAATCGAAGTTCAAACTTCCCGCGCGTCTCGAACGACCTCGAAGCCCTCTCGAAGACCTCGATATCTCGAGGTGATTCAAGTGTGTGGCCTTCAGGTCAAGCCTGCGAGGCGAGCGAGTATTTTCGCTGAGCTGGGTTGTTGTTTACATCCTGTAGCCGCTCTTCGTACGGCCGTCCCGTGCGCGAGGGGAGCGGCAAAAATTTCTCGCGTCGAATTTCGCCTGCACACTCAGTGACCCGACTTTGTTGCTGCGACTTCACTCCTGGTTCGCCCCCCCTAGTATCGTACGATCGTTGTGCAAGCACGGAACTCGGAACGCAGGGCTATCAGATAAGTCCACGAGGCACGATGAAGGTAACAGTAACCACGCTCAGCGACGACATTTTCGTCCTGGACGTGATCGAGGACATGGAGCTGGAGAGTTTCAAGGCTCTGTGCGAAATCGAGAGCAACGTGCCAGTCCACGAGATGGTGATCGCTTTCAATGGCCTGCCGTTGATGAACGACAAGAAATCGCTGAAGGATCATGGGATTCGTGACGGTGACGTGGTGATATTGCAGCACATGCATCAGAGCGGGGCCGAGTTGAACCTTCACCCCTTAAACGGAGGTCAGCTTCAATACAGCACCATTATTTAAAGTGGGCGATCGAGGCGGGTCGTGAGGTTAGCTTTTTCGGCTTCGATTTACGTTTATTTCTCACTGTTATTGTTTCACGTTTCTCTCTTTCTCTCTCTCTCGATCAAGTTTTATACCAGACATGCAACGCACGATCCCAATGGACTTGAAACTTGGCTTAACAGACTCGATCGAGCATGTACTTATCGTTGCCCTGTTTGGTTTCAACAATAGAATAGTGTATCCATTAGTATACAGTCTTTTGTCTTCGTGTGAGAATCTCTTTTCATTTTTTTTATTAAGTTCCTCTCGTCTATTGTCCGCACACCTGCCCGGCTCAGTTTTTCTTAGCACAAGGCATTTTGTACTCGTTTTGCGTTGAGTTTGAGTTCTCGTTTTAGCTATAGCTTTCCATTTTTGCCGTGCGCTTCAGTCAGATCAGTTATTATTAAGAGCGCACTGCTGCGTAGTAGAGAAGAGAATGTACTAAATTCCAAGATACATATCACTCTAGCTATTCCCATGTTGGACTTCAGTTCCATCAGAGTGCCAGGAGCATCCAACAGTCGACAATCAGCCGCCTCCAGCAGCACTATAGCCAGAATGCAAAATCCAAGAAAGGAAGACGATCCGGAGATCATAAGGGATATGTTTTTAGCCAATCCGGATCAGTTAGCATTGCTCAGCCAGAATAATCCTAAATTGGCTAGTGCCTTACTTTCTGGAAATCTGGGTAAATCTTTCAGAAATATGTATACCTGCAAATCTGGGAATTCATTTTATGTAATGGAAACTGTCAATTTACAGAGAGATTTACTACTGTGCTCAGGGAGCAAATAAAACTGAGAGAAGAGCGCGAGGCACAGAGACTGAGAATGATGAATGCAGATCCATTCGACACGGAAGCACAGAGGTTTATCGCGGAGGATATCAGGCAGAAAAACATAGAGGCAAACATGGAAGCTGCAATGGAATATAATCCAGAAACATTTGGATCAGTTGTTATGTTGTATGTTAATTGTAAAGTCAATGGATTCCCAGTTAAAGCATTTATTGATACAGGTGAGCATCGACGTTCATAGTGAAATAATAATATGCGAATAAATGCGCGTGATGCACAATATTGCAAGGATTGGACTGGAGACAAAGTTATTTTTATACGTCTTTGTTCGGCAGATCTTCGGCCATTCTGTCTATTTTTAAATTCCTGCATTTTGAAAGTCATTCTTTGCAGTATAATTCTTCATGGTGGGAGAGGTTTAAATTTAGATATTGTACTTCGCGTCTCATCCACATTATATTTTTGTATCCGTGATTCCATGAATTCACCCCTGTCAAGAAAAAAAACGAAAGAAAAGAATTTCGCAACACATAACATTTGTTGCTTTTTTAAAATTCAGGTGCACAGTCGACTATAATGTCCGACGCCTGTGCTGAACGATGCCACATAATGCGATTAGTGGACACAAGGTGGGCTGGTATAGCCCATGGTGTTGGAACCCAGCGCATCATTGGTCGTATTCACATGGTACAAATTCAAATTGGAAACGACCATTTAACAACATCGTTCACCGTCCTTGCAGAGCAAAGCATGGACATGTTACTAGGACTGGATATGCTAAAGAGGCATCAATGTTGCATAGATTTAAAGAAAAACGTGCTGCAAATCGGCACCACTGGCGCTGAAACGCCATTTTTAGCAGAAGGTGATTTCAAACATTCCTGTGATTGCATAATATATCTTTATCGGTTACACAACGTGAATACTTGATTCCAATTAGGGGAACTACCAGAGTGGCTGAGGTTAAGCGGTTACAGCGATGCGAGTATTTACGATGTGGAAGAAGATAAGGATGATAAGAAAGGAGAACCTCAGAGAGCGTTGGAGGATGGTTCCAGAGACGCGAAGAAGCAACGTCGTCAGCAGGGTAAGTATGTATCAGTCCAGGCTATCCTTTCTTATCATGATTCCTCATCAGATTAAAAATAATTTGTGTTATCTTCGAAGATGTATGAAGTCTAATAATTTCATTGTGTTTCCTTTATTATATATTTTGATTCAAGTAGAGATTATAATATTTATAAATTCAACTAATTATATTTTTCCCTTGTGATACAGGATTTAAAAATATATTTGTGAAAATGTAGGAATATGAAATCTTTATTTCTAACAATATTTGAAGCATTCAGAAATTAAAATAGTCGACTACATTTTCTCTACATTTCAAGATAAAAGAATCCTATCCTTTTTGTACATTCCTACTGTATCTTTCTTCTTTCTAGAGAGATCTAGCTAAGACTAACAAATCCCTGCAATTTGCCTGGACTAGTGATCTTAAACAGATGCTTTATAATTTATGATTTTATTTGTGGCTTTTAGAAGATAAGAAAAATATTTTATTTTCTATAAATATTATATCTTCTAGATGGCCAAGAAAGCAATAGTTCGAGCGGGACATCGAGTAGACTAGGCCCCATAGAGACTACAGTCTTCTCCCACGATCCATTCACAGAGGAAACAGTGAAGGAGATCGAGTCTCTGGGATTTAGCAGAATACAAGTTATTGCGGAATTACGTAGATTTAACGGGGACAAAACTCAAGCCACTGATGCATTATTCACTAAATCTTTAAGACTTTAAACTGACAGCAGGAGGGAAAAAGAAATTAACGAAAGTTTCCGTGTGTGCGCAGTAAAGATAAGGAAACGAAAGATTTGTACGATTCTTGGTAGCGATTTTTCATATCGATTGTTGTAAAAATCTGAAAACTACAGAATCGAAACTCAGCTCAGGCAAGCTACTCTCGTTGCTCGACAATTAGCATGAAATCGTGTTTCAAATTTTACTTTGTCGAGCAGCTATTATATATATATAGACGCCGTGTTTCATTCAAGTAGCATATGGCTACTTCGTAGAGTTATATCTTCTCCGATTTTGTTTTTTTTTTTTTTTTCTTTTTTTTCCTGATAGATACATGGAATCGAATCTGTCGAGTTTTAAGTGGATGTCAACATGCTCTGATAACCTAATCTATTACTACCGCAATACATGAATTTAGGAATAAATATAAGATGGATTAAGAACCAAGTTTCTGAGTTAGTGGTGCAGCTTATTGTCTTTCATAAAGGTTATCTACACATGAAAGTTGTGTCACATCTGTAGATGTTCCACAAAACTTTTTTACTAGATTAGATATCCATGAGAATAATCTTTTAATTGAAGAGATATATTGCACGATTTCACGGACATTTCGAGCTTCGCGACCAAAAATCAGCTTGCGATACCTCCTTTGCGCGAATATATTAGTTCCTCCTCTGTAACTGTATGATTTTTAAAAGCAAAAAAAAAAAAAAAAAAAAAAAGAAAATGATTTTGTAACGTAAAAAGAGTCGCATCGACGTATCGACGAATCTATAAAGAATTTTCCATTATTTCTTATATTTTTTATTTCAACGGGGAAGAGAGTTAAGAGAAAAGAGATACGAATAAACTTGTGGAAATTTTTATTGTTTCGTTTTCACAAACATTCATAAACGTGTCTGCAACGGACAACGTGAATTTTGTATCGTTACTATCTATTTAGGGTATATGGTGTTTTTCTGTATTTTCTTTATATTACTATAAAAAGAATATACTAGGAAAGATAAAAGAAAAAAAAGGAGAAAAAAGAATGTGTAACAAACAAAATTCACCTACGTCTTTTCACTCACGCGTTACAATTTAACGAAAATAATTTCAGCCTTTCCACATCTCGTGAGAGAGAAGATGAAAATCTCTTCGAAAAAGATCAATCACGATTGCCAATGTGCCACGATTGCGCAGGATAGAAAATGATGAAGTGGCATGTAAACGATAAAAATTCGCCAAACGATAGGGCTTCGTTTAGGGCAGCTCGTTTGGTGCCCATGTTATGTCCACTATTTTACCAGTGCGAGCGGATTCTTGGCACGCAGCCGCAATTTTAATTACAGCTAAGGTTTCCTTGGGCTGTACAGAGCTTTCGGCTTTACCAAGTACAACGTCGACAAAGTGATCCAGCTCACGACGATAGCCATTCATGAATCTACTGGCGAACGAATACCAGATTGGTGCGCTGTTTATTCCGTCCTGGTCGTACTGGGTGGTGACACAGTGTATTGGCTGTTCATTGTCTGCCCTGATCACACCCTTAGGACCAAACACCTCGAGACGTTGGTCATAACCATAGGAACTGTTTCGTGATATGTCGACCATCCCCAAAGTTCCTGACGGGAAGTACAGCGTGACTACAACTGTGTCATGGTCGCCGATTGCTTTGATTTCTGGAATATGTGCATGTGCCTGGGCTGAAACCTGCAGGGAAATATTTCAACATTTAATAATTGAGCAGGCGTAGATGAATTGGGGAAATGAGTTCCATTTGTTGACTGTAATGTATTCTGGATACATACTACATAGTACACCCCATTTGAAACTACATACTACATAGTACATACATTTGAAACTAAAACTGTAAATATTTACTCAGATTTTCATTTTCTGTGAAAGCTTGAATCGAAATTCTTTTGTACTCTATGATATTTATAAGTCCAGGTCTTCATAGTATGGGTGAAGGATTAATCCAACGTTCTACCTAGTAGACCAGCAACGTCCAAAGATTCTCACCTTAATGGGATACTCGCCAAGGATCCAAGTTATGATGTCAAAATCATGGACCATGCAGTCATGGAATATACCTCCAGAGATCTTCAGATAGTCGATGCTAGGAAGAGGAGAGTCACGGGAGACTGTTTTGATAACGTGAACGTGTCCAACTTCTCCATTCCTCACTCTGTCCCTGACTGTGGAGTAGCTGGGATCGAATCGTCTGTTGAAGGCGCAGAACAAAGGTTTGCCGATCTTTCTAGCGGTCTCGTAGCATTTGATCGAGTTGGCAGTGTCCTCGGCAATTGGTTTCTCACAGAACACCGCTTTTTTCGCCTCTAAAGCTCTCCTTACGATTCCCTCGTGCGTGAATGTTGGTGAAGCAACGACAACTGCGTCTACACTGTGAACACGCAAAACAATCTCAATTATTAACTGAATTCCTGATTAATCTCTGCGTTTTCTCTCGAGTTTCATACTATGTTTTGGATTTTTTATCATCGGGTGATAATGTAATCGTAATGGAAATGTTTGACATTTAAAAAAATTTAGTAATCGGAGAATCAATACTGGAATTAATACCCTGAATTTCGCAGTAGATAAGAGAGAATGGAAGATTTTTAAAAAATAATTGAGTAAAAGTAATGATTTTTATTTAAGAGTAATTAATTATTTTATTTGATTAAAATAATTGTAATTTGTTGGTTGGGATCTATATTCTATTAGAAATCATAAAATTTCTCAGGGTCAAACATTATGTGAATTTTTAAGAAAATTTTCTGATTAGGAGAATTGATATTTTTATTCATTGAAAGAACAATAAAAAAAATTTCAATTCTGGATTAATCTTGAATTATTAAATATTAAGAAACCAATTTACTTTTGTGCCAGAAAATAATTTGAAAAAATTTTCTTCCAGAAAGTTTCAAAGTTTACATATTTGTAAATCAGAAGAAATGTCTATCTCATTTAAAAAAACAATTAGCAATTTTGAATTAGATTTGAATAATTAATTATTCATTATATTAATAAAGCAAAATATTTAGTAGAATTAATATTAGTTATGAAGAATAATGGACTTTAACTTAGATCATTATTTGTGTTCTATATTAATTTTTTATGTACTATATATTTACTTAAATTAATTTTAAATTTTACAAATACGATCACTAATAAAATTTCAGAATTCAAAAACTTCCGAAATTTTTCACCATATTCAAAGAGTGTGAAAACCATAAGAAAACCTAAATTACTTGGGATCGTTGTATACTCTGTCCGTTTGTTTACTGTTCAATAAGACAACATCATCAAGGTGCCAGTAGTCCTTAAGATTCGCCCAATTGGACTCGATATCGTCTACAACATATAATAATTTCACACGTGGACTGGAAATAATGTTGCTCAAATGAATGGTTCCAGCACGACCAACTCCAAACAGGGCAAGTCTCACTTTAGGATGACGTACATTTTTATTCAGTGCCAGATCCTCTAGATACCTGTAATAATATTTCATTTATTTTCATGAAAGAAAAAGGAGAAGAATAAAATAAAACGCAGTCTAGATTCTAGAGGAATCAATTCTGAGCAGTAACTTGAAGAAAATTGAATTACTGAGAAGAAAATTGAATTACTGTGCCAAAGCGAATATTTTGGAATTTACTTGTAAGTTCGAAGTTTGATTTATTCAAAACAATCAAATATCTTCATTGCTTAAAACTAATTTATTTACTAATAAATACATTTATTTATTTACAAATAAATTAATTTCATAATTAAAACCACAAGTACCGAATCCTACTGTACATCTAATAACGAAAAATACGTCTTTTAGAAATGAAAAAAAGAGGACCTCGACTTCAATTTTCCACAAAAATATCAATCTTGGAGAAAGGCTCATCGAATATTTACAAATCTTAAAAATACTCACTTTTTATAAATATAATCCTGCGGCGGAGGTGATGGTTGTTGCGTGTATGGTGAAACACTCTTGAACTTAGCGGTTGCCATTCTATCTTGTCAGAAATGTGAAATATTCATTAAGTGAGTAAAACGTTAGTCAGTCTCAGTATTTGCCCGGCCTGTTATATATGTATGTAAACGAGCTGGTCAACAATAGTGGGGAGAGACCATGGCTAGAATCTTCAGACGATAAAATCCATAACGTAATGCTTGTTTATTAGTGTGAGATTTTTGGTTGGTGAAAAAATTACTCGAGGCATGTTTGTCCGTGGAAAATGTATTCAGATAAACCGTATTATCTTAACATTTTTCAGCAAAACTGAAGAAACTGATTTGAACTGTTTAGAACTTAGGAATAGTTGAGTAACAATAAGTTATTGAGAAAGCATATTTGGATAGTATTGATATTTCTATAAGTATTTATGGAGAAGCTTTTTTATAAATTTTTATTAAATAAAAGGAGTGAATTATATTATATGTATTGAGAAATTTTTTTACCAACATTACATCCTAAAATAATTAAAACTGATTTATAAAACTTAACTTCATGAATTATAAAAATTAAATAATTAAAAAATTAATCTACAAAAATTATCTCCACAAATTTAAGCCTCCATAATTTTTTTAAGATTAGTCTATAAAATAATAGGAAAATCTTAAAAAGTAATAAAAGAAATCTAGCCACTCAAAGATAACTTCAAAAATAGCAGAAAATTATTGTGAAATAAGCAGGTCTTAATGTATACATAGTGCGAATTGATAAAGTAGCTGTGGTTGAAATATTGATTCCATTAAGATACTCATCAAGCTGACACGAATTTATCCAATCTATTTAATCGTTCGATTAAACAACGGGTCTCTCACTCATATGGAGTATTGTTCTAGAGTTTTCGAGCGATTCATTAAAATAATTTGTTGGGTACCATCGAGAAAACTCCTGAACGTCTTCATTGAACATGAATTGAAGCAATCGTCTAACGTTTCATCCAATCATTCTGTATGTATATACATACATCATGCGTATATTCCAAAAGTGACGCCAACAAATTTTTCAGAAAAACCAAAAAAAGCAATTTTGGAATTTATAAAAAAGTTATTTATAAAGCACGCAATGACGATAAGAAGGGAACAATAAATTATGTGAGTCTCTTGTAAAATCAATATATTACATCATATTATAGTATAAACAAAATTAATGATAATTCTTAATTCTCAGGGTTATCAAACTAGCATATTATTCAAACGGTGAAATTATCGAGTTTGCAGCAAACCAGTATTATTGATAGCTAGTTATCGCAGCGGAAAAATTTCATTCCGTAGATCGGTTTCGTGATTCGTAAACTTCGTTTAAGTATAGGATATAGTATAATTTTTCTGAAGGCTTAGACTTAAAACATTATTTGTCACGATAGGATTTTTGCAAAAGGGAAATAAAAAAATTTCTGATGCAATGAAATCGAAGTATTTAGATTCTAATTAGGTTCTAGATAGTTTAAGTAAAAATGAAGTATAAAAAGTTTTATTACATAGTATTATATATTGAACAATGATTTATAACTCGTCGTTCATCTTGGAAACTGAACTGGGCACAAAGACAACTTTATTGGTGTCGCTTACTACATACTTAAACCTTTTTGTTTTATCTCTTCCTGGATCAGCATCTACCAAAGATATACTTGATCTCACTTTTCTACAAATAAAAACATTTTTTTTTCATTCTAGGAAACCTGGAACCTAAGATCTGAAATTTCAGAAGCATGCAATCAAGTCTAAAGTAAAGAAAAACTAAAAACTTGTTAGACTATGGATTTTTGTGTATCTGGGGAAAATTTAAAGATACAAAAATGTGCATAAAATGACTAATTAATAATATGGAAAAATATATAAAATATTTAACCCGGGATTACCCACGTGGGGGTCTACTGCTGGGATGTACCTGCACTAGACCTCCAAGTGGGTAATCCCGGGTTAAAATACAATATTCAATAGATCTCTAGTCTTCCTAATACCCATTTTTTATAAAGATATGAATTTGCATAAATATCCACAGTTTAGTTACAAAGTCTATCATATATTAATAAAAATTTCATTTAGCCTAAATCTAATTACATTTTCTCAGTTTCACTCATTTCTACTGAAATTGTCTGATCTTTGGAGTTAGAGAAGTTACATTCCAATATAAAAGCAGCATCACCAGGAGTAATCAAATCATCGTCATGCTGGAAGATCAATGTATTCCTATATCTATTATCAACCTAGAACAAATATCTTAAACCAGTAACTTATTTCTGAGTTATCTTGTAACAATTTTTTCCAGATGTTCAAATGAATTTGTGAAGTAGTTACATTTTCTGTGTCACACTGATTAAAGGGAATGCTCATAGTGAAGCTTCCACCTTGATTAGGATCCAAAAAACAGGAAGATTGTCTGGAATAGAAGCTACCTTGTGTGTAAATTACTCCTGAAAAATTTTCCGATGTTTGCAGGTCAACTATCATTTTTTCTGCCCCACAACGTAGGGCAATCTGATCATACCCTTCGGTGGAAGCACCAATCTGCATGTCCATGGACAAATCTTGCTCCCAAATTTCCTCTAAAATAGATAAAGAATAGTTTTTGCTATGAACAGCTTTTATTGATAAGAATCCAATATTTATTAGTTATTATACTGCTTTCTGTGACCCCCCGTAAGGTCAACGTTACATACCGTTCTTAAAGTTCGATAAAATTAAGAAGTATCGATATATTTCGCAAGATCAATGTTGTTTCAGCAGGAGAGTAAAAAAACAGATTCTGCTCGTTTAAAAATAAATCATAAAATTAAGCGTGTATTTAGTATTAAATAAAATAGGTGGCGAATAGAAAAATAGATAGTAAATTAATTAATTAAAATAAATAATAGAATCAAAAGAGTATTATGAAATATTAATATATTATCATAAAATAGAAAAAAGTTCGAATAAGTTCATATAAAATATTTTTGAAATTTTGCTTTGAATATTATTATTTTTTATATAATATGAGTTTTGTAAATTTTTATATAAAAGTTTTTTATTCAGATTTTTTAAAAACGCGTAAAAATCTGCAATCTAATAGTTATTTTGTAATTACCCGCTAATTGTTCTTTTAGAACAAATATGAAAAAGAATATGATGTGTAGCGGTGCTTGCATGATGTTGCCAGACGAACGTCCGTGAACTGACAAGGAATTCAAGTTCATTCATCAGAAAGTAATTCCTCCTATTACCTTCCGACTCCTACTTTGGCACCGGACCCCGTAGTACTTTCACGTTTTATTTCAGTTTTCTTTACACTCCTAAGATTAATAAAATTAATTTTTAAATTAATTCTATCAATTCAGTCAAAAATTATTTAAATTAACTTTTATTAATCGTTCTATAATATTGATAATATTTTTTTTATTTATTTACTATCTTCCATTTTTTTAAATTTCAATCATATCCTTTCTTGTTATATGAATATCAATAACATACCAATAACTTTCTTTTTTTCTTTTAAGAAAATAACAATTCAATTTTAATGCTAAATCCCGATCTGGTTGCCTATAATGAGGATCTGAGTCATTGATCTTCAAACGAGATGCAGCAATGGAAAGATTAAAATAATTTTGTTTATTCATTAGTTGCATTATGAATTACTCAATCTCTGCAGTGAAATTTTTTTTTATAAATCTTGTCTTTTTCCGTGGTTACGTAATCATATCTTTATGTTCTTATTTATCTATTTTATTCATTGCGATATATAGCAACTTGTGTTCAATGAAGCAGACATTAGTCTCACAGCTCAACAAAAAACATTAGAATCTTATAGTCTCTCAATTATTAATATGTTATTGTATTATATATATGCAACAATATCTTGATTTAATATTACAATTCTCAATCATATAAAATCAGACTTAAGAGATCAGAGGCCTTAGGACTTTTAATATAATCAAATTTTGTGCAAGAAAATATTATACCAAATATATACCAAACTGAATGAAATACTTAGGATTCAGACATGGATATATTTAATTTGTCTCCTTTGTTTTAAATTTTATTATTGTTTTAAATTTTAATGAATTTTTAATTATAATAATTTTAGGACTCTATAGAGGATCCCAATTTTAAGTCCTTTGATAATACTGTTCATTAGTAGTCAGTTTATGAAACTGCAATATTAAATATTTTACATGAGACAGATTCTTGTATTTTGTATAGCAGATTGTACTTTGTATAGCAGAGTATAAATGAGTATAAATGGATTACAAACCTCAAATATTATATAAAGAATATTTTCTTCCACAAATTATATCATATTACATTTTTGACAACCTAAACTGAATGAACTGCTGCATGAAAATGCAATTATGAGTTAAGTATATATGAAACCTACATTTTGTAATATGTTCAAATGACATAATATCAATGGAAATTCTGGATTTATTAAGCATGGAGAGCAACAGCGTGCGACAAGGAGAGATATAAATGCGCAATAAATAAGGAAAGCAACAGCATGCGACAAGGACATCCTTCGATCTATTGAAAAAAAATTCAACTTTTTACACACACGTTTCTCTGGGACAAAACACCCACAGAAAGAAAGCGGCGAGTCTAATTGTAAGGAGACATATGAAAAAGTTTGCAAAATATGCCTCTTAATTAGATTTTTTCGTAATTAGTGCGAACTTTCACAAAATGGACATGATGGCGCCATCTAGCAGTGACTCGGTGGTACTAATTATTTATAAAAATACTTATTTCTGCATTTTACGGGACAAATGGGGTATGGAAAGAAAGCTAAGAGGCTAATTAGGGTAATACAATCGCCAAAGTTCACAATTCGTTACGCTAAATTAGGTTTTTTATTCGCTTATGAAAATTCCACTGCTTTACGGGGTTGAAGGGTTTGAAATGGCGATGATAATGCGAGGATAATGTAGGAAGTGATGTGATGTGGGTAAGGTGAGGAAAGGTTGTGCGTTTCGTCTCAGAGTCGCTGCCTAGATTCATCAGTGGGGCTGATGGCAGCGACTCCTTACCCCAGACGTTTGTTGTTGTAATTATTCGCTAGGCTGGATGGTCACCCATCCTAGCGGTTCCGCACTCTGCTTAACATCGAATATCGGTTGACTTCGACGCTAGGCGCACAGCCACTTGCGGCTTGTGCAAGTTGGTGTTCGAAACTCGTACTCGAGGAACTATAGGTCGCTACAGGGTAAGAAACACTAGCGCCGCGTTGTGGCAGAACGGTGGAACTAAACGCTCCATTACCATATAAGGAAAATGATTATAATTAATTTTAATTTTTCATGACACAAATTTGCACTCCACGAGCATATATTTCGATGATAATGTTATCAATTACGTTTGCAAAGAAATATGAATCTAATATTCACTATAATGTGCGCTAAATTATGCACTCACCACTGGCACTACTACTAACGTAAAGGAAATTGAAGCATTCCTTATATACGTAAACTATACTTAAACAAAAGATAGAACGCAAGCTAGGGGCCTCTAAAATCAAAGACGCAACCATAACAATTCACAAATGATTCCTTTCAATAAATTTCTTCTCGTAATTTGTAGGAAATCAGTCACCTGTCAATGATTCGAGGAGACTATGGCTCCATCTATTGAAAACTCGGAGGTACTAAAAACAGACTTTTCAACCCTTAGTACCACCGAGTCTTCAATAAATGGCGCAATAGTCTCCTCGAATCATTGACAGGTGACTGATTTCCTACAAATTACGAGAAGAAATTTATTGAAAGGAATCATTTGTGAATTGTTATGGTTGCGTCTTTGATTTTAGAGGCCCCTAGCTTGCGTTCTATCTTTTGTTTAAGTATAGTTTACGTATATAAGGAATGCTTCAATTTCCTTTACGTTAGTAGTAGTGCCAGTGGTGAGTGCATAATTTAGCGCACATTATAGTGAATATTAGATTTATATTTCTTTGCAAACGTAATTGATAGCAGTATCATCGAAATATATGCTCGTGGAGTGCAAATTTGTGTCATGAAAAATTAAAATTAATTATAATCATTTTCCTTATATGGTAATGGAGCGTTTAGTTCCACCGTTCTGCCACAACGTGGCGCTAGTGTTTCTTACCCCGTAAAGCAGAGGAATTTTCATAAGCGAATAAACCTAATTTAGCGTATCGAATTGTGAACTTTGGCGATTGTATTACCCTAATTAGACCCTTAGCTTTCTTTCCATACCCCATTTGTCCCGTAAAATGCAGAAATA